ATGGGTATAATGCTAGAAAAATGGCCTAATAAAGGTCAAGAGTTCCTAAAATACATGTATAACGTTCGCCTAGCTTCATCTAGAGGGTTTGGCTCAGGTTGAGCTATATATGATGAACACTACCGCCTTCGTAAGGCTAGATGTCCACAATCATCTTTGGCAGAGCTGGGCATGGAGCTGTGGGTATCGGACGTCTCTACTCCTCCGAGATTTGTTCATTCAGATACTAATCATTCTTTTGGGGGTCAAAAGGGATCACAGTATGTCCAAAATACTAAATTTGAACAGGTACAAAGATTCTCGGCACCATGCAAAGGTTACAACTTCGGCAGATGTACTTATGGGGCAGCATGTAAATTTGAACATAAATGTTTCAGATGCTCTGAAAACCACCCTATTGGGGCCTGCAAAAAGAGGTAAGGATTACCAGTTGTACTCTTTGGGATACTCCCCTATTTGTGTGAATAAAGTAGAAGAATCTTTAAAATTTTATCCATCAAAAGCAACAGCAAACGAACTAATAAATGGTCTTCGATTTGGTTTCAAATTGCAATATTCCGGTTCACGATTACCTGTTCATGCAAACAATTCAAAAAGTGTGACTGTACATGCAGATCTTGTCAGAGAAAAAATTAATAAAGAGATTACTTTTGACCACCCATCTTTACCAACTCTACGCATTTCTCCTATATTTTTGGCCGAAAAGAAGAACGGGGATTATCGTTTAATTCATAATCTTTCCCATCCCCTGCATAACTCTGTAAATGACTTTATAGATGAGAAATATTGCTCTGTGCAGTATTCGGGTATTGACGACGCCGTTAGGTTGGTGCAAAATATAGGAATAGCCGGAAAACTTTCAAAGTCCGACGTTAAAAGTGCATTTCGTTTATGAAGGGTTTCACCTTCTGATTTGGACCAGTTCGGTTTACCACAGGGAGCCTCAATCAGCTGTTCACTCTTTGAAAAGTTCTCAACAGCACTTCATTGGTTTACGGAACTTACCAGTGGAAATCCTAATATACTTCACTATCTAGACGATTTCCTTTTTGGAGGCGAAGCAAATAGTCCAACTTGTCAGAAAACACTTGAAACGTTCAAGGAAATTTGTTCAGCTTGGGGATTCCATTAGCAGAAGACAAAACCGTTCAACCCACAGAAATTTTGACCTTCTTAGGTATTGAATTTGATACCTTAAAAATAGAAATGAGGCTCCCTGGGGGAAAATTGACCAATTTAAAACAAACTTTGCAGCTGTTTCTACATTCAAAAAAAGTAACCTTGCGTCAGTTACAGTCACTGATAGGGTTGTTAAACTTTGCATGCCAAGTTATCGCCCCTGGAAGGGCTTTTTGCCGAAGATTAATAGATGCTACTTGTAACATAAGAAAAGCACACCACAGGGTACGGGTATCATGCAACATGCGTGAAGACATTATAGTTTGGAGCTCTTTTTTAGACCAATATAACGGAGTCACGGTCATGATTGATAGTTTATGGACTTCCAACGATACGCTTGAACTGTTTACAGACAGTGCCGGGGGTCAAAACAGAGGAGCACTTGAAAAGCCGTTCGATCATGACACCAGGAGGAGCAGTTAGTTTTCCTCAGTGAAATTATAAGAACTGCTATAAATGAGATTATTTTAATAACAAGTGAAACTCGGTTGGGAACAATCCGTTTAATTAGGGTTCAAGGGTAATTTGTTTGGCAGTGAGTGGGTATGCCCCACCCATTTGGCGGGCTATGGCAAGATGAAAATGGAACATATCCCCAGATTGTACGCTAGCTTATATTTGGGGTTATTGTCTTCTGTGTTCCCACAGAGATTAGATTGGGTCTTCTTTGAATGTACCAAAGAGACCGGTTTCATACGATCTCTCTATTTAGCATTTAACGTAGAGGATTGTAGCTTTCATTGCCTAACAGTGAAGCATAGGCTTGTCTGCGCAAAAAATTAATACTGTAGCCATATCATCCCAAATTCTAGATCTTTGTTGATTATATTTATCCTTGAAAAACAAAAGGAGCCGAATTTTACATTGCACACATACTATTATGGTTCGAGAAAGGGTTTGATCGCACATGAGACATATTTAAAACGAAAGCAAAATTTGTTGATCGCCCATGAAACATGTATATAAAATGAAAGCAGTTTTGATCTTTGATTAAGTATTACGTTATTCCGTGTGATTTTAGCGAGAGAAATTTATGATTACTGAAAATTTTTTACACCAGGGTTTTCGATATCATAAACTAGTCAAAACATTTACTAAATTTTATCATCGGTATAAGGACATCATTCGTAAATATAACTCAACATGCAGACATCTTATACGTTCGGGTATTTCACATCCAATCTTTTATGGTAATATTCTTTACTAAGCACAAAAATGTCAGTATTCACCTCAAAAGCTAACAAAACCTTTAAACAGACTTATTAAGAAGGGATATAGTTACGATACTGTTGTCAGGTCATTAAAGGTTGCATATTTTGGCTTTAATATTGATTCACTTATAGGGTCTTTGCATCGGAATTAAACACATTTATTCTAAAACCAGTGATTGGCATGACACGGGTTATGTTCTTCTCATATATTTTATGATGGTATAATACTAAACCCCTAACAGGAGGGATTGTGCCTGATATTCATATGATGAAGACATAATCTTTCAATCAGTTTAATTGAGGTCTGGAGCTGGCATGTCAGTAACTGCTAGTAGTCTGTTGTTATTTATGTGTTATTGTCATTTTGTTTATTTTCTTTTGTTTCCTATCTAGACTCCTATCATCTGACATCGGACTCGGACTTCTCTTAAACTGAAGTTTACTGTGCGTACTGTTGTGCGTTTGTTTTTTCTACATTGGATAGAGGTATAGGGGGAGGGTTGAGATCTCAAAAAACATGTTTAACCCCGCCGCATTTTTGTGTCTGTCCCAAGTCAGGAGCCTCTGGCCTTTGTTAGTCTTGTATCATTTTTAATTTTAGTTTCTTGTGTATAATTTGGAGTTTAGTATACGACGTCCATTATCACTGAACTAGTATACATATTTGTTTAGGGGCCATGCAGCTGAAGGACGCCTCCGGGTGCGGGAGTTTCTCGCTGCATTGAAGACCCATTGGTGGCCTTCGGCTGTTGTCTGCTTTATGGTCGGGTTGTTGTCTCTTTGACACATTCCCCATTTCTATTCTCAATTTTACTAAAAGCGTTTGAGGAACGTCATATTAGAATTTGAAATATACAGTACAATTCCTTGAATAAACACAAATTTCACTATATGTTTTATTCTATTTTAGATAAGAAAAGCAAAGACAGTAAAGGATTGCATGACAATATAATGGTGTTCTAAATGCATAAAGCATATAAACAATATGATTATAAACAATAACATATGCAATGCAATCTAGACAATAGATATGTAACATGTGTAATTATAATAAAAAAACAACAAAAAACAACAAAAAAACAACAAAAAACACACACAACAAAATAATTGCAATTAATATTATGTTGACATTGACCCAAGTGCACCAGGTGAGTTTATTTTGACTTAAATAAACAAGAGGCTTGAGTAGTTTGTGCGAACAAATCTCTATATAAAAAAAAACAAAACAAGGTATACTGCAAATAACATTGAAAAAAGGATATTATGACTAATCTGCAGTAAGCCCCAAGAGCCAATGCTTAAAGGGAAGTCCCTACTTGTACTTAATGCAGATGAGTCAAACTCCTAAATTATCTTAAAAAAAATATTTTAGAAATCATACTTTTAAGATTATAGATTCTGTGTCTAGTCAGCGAAGATCATCAAGGGACGGTGCCAGAGAATATAAAATTCTTTTTATGATCAGTGCAGGCTTAACAGAGAATCCAAACTCATGTGTAAGAGTTTAATTGAAATTAGTTATTGCAGATTATGTTTTCCTTTAATTATTAGTATCTTCTATATATTTATAAAATGCAAATAGTACATTGGGATCCTCATTATTCATTATCCAAAATAATTTGTTGTTAGTTTGTAAATATTGGAAGTTTGGACACGATTTTAATATACTTTGCATCAATTCCTCTCTTTTTAATAAATGAGTGTCACGTTTAAATAAAAAATGAACTGCATCTTCAACCTCACCAGACAAATTCGGTTTTGTCGAAGAGTACCCTGGTTTCTGCCAGATTCAATCTGCAATTTGTGAGCAGATATTCTTAATCTAATAATACATTTCCTTTGCTCAAAAAGTCGCATTATTGACAAATAATTTTCAAAACCAAAACTACACTTGAATGTTACATAAATTCGTAGTTTACCATATTTATGTATATCTAGCTGTTTTTTTCCACAATGCAGTATATATAGTATTCCTTAACAATCAGACCACAGTGTATTTTAAATGTTGAATATTTTGATGGTATATGTTTTTCTATACCTGACATTTTTCTCCATTAAAACATCAATTGATCCATACCAAGAGGGCTTTTTTGTTTCAAATAGCTTTCTAGAACAATCATGCAGCTTTTAACAAGGGAAATGAGGAACCAATATTTTCTAAACGATGCCAATATCCTAAAACATGTTTGACTATGTCATAATGCAGTGGAAAACGTCCTAATTCAGACAAAACTGCAAAATTTGTACTTTTTCTATGAACACCTAAAATATACTTGCAGAATTTAATATGTAGTTTTTCACAAAATATCCTAGAGTAAATTGTATCCACCGATATGGTTTCTTTTTTAAAACGTGCAATAAGGGATTGAAATACCCCCAAATTTCAAACCCATATAAAAGTATGGGCTTTTTGTATGGTCAAAAACATGAATTGCATTTTTTACAGTAGGATTATGCACTAAAAAAATATGTCAGCTAAAGCTAAGTGCGGTCGAACAAGAACTTTAGAAAAATGAAATGAAATGCGGAATTCGTTTCGTTATATTCACAGACGTCATTTTTATAAATTCAGACGAAAATTTACAAGTGACGTCACTGTGAAACTGACCAACCTCGAAACATTTTGATGACCCCGACAAGACCCAATTTTATTATGGAGGTGCGAGAATTTCCACCTCGATAAACCATGGAAACTGTCATCCCTTAGTAGATTACAGCTATATACATTCTTTAATTTAGGAAATATTTTACATTATGATAAATATTTACTCATAACTGGGATGTAATAAGCCTGGTTAGTGCAAAACATCGCTACCAGAGGCCGCTGAACTCCGAATGCAGATAAATCAAATATGGCAGCCGAGGACGGGGTATACCCCGCTCGCTGGGAAAATCAGTGCGATTATCAAGGTATGCGTGTGAAATTTAAAGAACCACTACCTGTGTTGTATTCATTAATGATATGGGTATGAGTCCAGCTGGCAATTTGTTCATATTCACTGATGATCGCAGTTTGTATTGATCGCAAATATCTGCATCCCCATTGTGGCTTCAACTGTTGGTGTATTTTGATATTTTCCATGCCTGTGTATTATGCTACTTGGCTAGATAAATGTCTACAATTTATAGTAATATGAATGTAAGTTCACTTGTCCATTTCAATAGGGAAGGAAATACTGTTTGGGAAGTGGTTATCATTATATTTTGTAAATGTCTTCCTCTTTGCAGTAAATTGTACAGTACCATTTGTAGACGATATAGAATTGATACACTGCTTATCTATCTGTTGGTTTTTCTTTTAACCAACAGATATATATGCTCATGGAAGTGCAGATTTATTTTAAACTGATAAATTGTTGCAGGGTAGAGATTTTTTTGGGAGGGAATTGCTACAATACACCTTATCGCTATTTGGAAATCTGTGCTGGTTGACCAGAGAATCTGTGCCGCTTGAACTAATGACACCATACAACAATCACTTATTTCCATTGTGGCGTCAGATATTTTGTAACATGATGTCAAAATTTTACGGAAACCTTTGTGATGTCCAGTAATGGCGGACAAATAGCGATAAGGCTGTATTGTAAAGAATAAGGCTGTATTTGACCTAAATTTTTGCTAAAATTAAAAAAATTTAATTTCAGAATTATCTCCCATACTTTGTTATTCTGTTTTTTCAGTCCTATGTTTTCTGTTTGGACTGCTATTTATCTTTTTGGCCATTGTGTTGTTTTCTTCAAATTACTATTTTTAATTGTCCCCATGGTATCTTCTGTCTTCCTATTATATTTAGTTGAGGAAATACAAAAGTAAAAATGGTATAGGGTCTGTTCACTCCCAAAACACATTCGTACCCTACACGATTGCCCCCACATGTTCGCCCCCTTGGTTCGTTTGCACCCTATTTTTTATTAGTCCCTTACCAACGAAGTTAAAGGGGACTTTAGGTTTGCACTCCGTCTGTCTGCCTGTCCATCCGTCAGTTCGGCAAATCAGTTTTCCACATTTTTTTTCTTCGTGCTTGAAGATATTGATTTGATATTTGGTGTATTGTTTTATCATGACAAGTTACAGATCAAGTTCGAATTTTGTTCCAGTCTGATGATTTTGTGCAGAGTTATAGTCCTTGGAATTAGAAAATTCACTCAAATAATCAGTTTTCTGCACTTTTTTTGTCATACTTGAAGATATTGATTTGATAATTGGTATATAGTTTTATCATGACAAGTTACGGATCAAGTTCGAGTTTTGTTCCGGTCTGATGATTTTGTGCAGTTATGGTCCTTGGAATTCAAAATTCACTTTATTAGATAATCAGTTTTCAACACTTTTTTGGTCATGCTTGAAGATATTGACTTGATATTTGTTATAAAGTTTACACCATTACAAGTTATAGATCAAGTTAGCATTTTGTTCCAATACAATGACTACTGTATGTACAAAAATGTATTGCCATGCAATACTCTCAGAATACTTGTTCAAATACAGTTTGAATTATTAGATGTATATATCAAAATATTAGGCACAGGACGTTTGCGCTTTTTTACCTGTACCACAATAGGACATTTGCGCTCCAAACACTATGGACATTTGTGCTTTAAATGTTGATACACCTGTATTAAATTGACCAGACGCGTTTGTGCTTTTAACCTATAGTCGTCAACCTAATTTTAAGGAGTTGTAATCATAACGTAAATAAATTCAACTTATATTTGAGGCTAATAAGTTAACATTGGCACAGTCTTAAACATAGAGTTATATACTAGTAAAGGAAAAAAATATTAATGTCACAATGGATTTTTATTATTGAACAACAGTCGGTTAATTACATTAAATTCGTTATAATGAAGAATAGGGACCTCAGTCAAAAATTGAGGAAGAGAAACTAGAATATTTATTTGAAATGTTGGCGAAATACCAGTCAGGGCAGATTACAAGAGCTAAATTTGTTCATTCCCTGAGCTTCAGATATCAAGCAAAAACTGACCTGTGATGACTATGTGTGTCTTTATGTCTTTTTAATGGTTTTTTTTAGCTATATATACATTTTTGTACATTGTAACTATATGTATGTGCTGTGAAATGACTTTTTAACACGAATGTGTTATGAAATGACAATTAAACTTTTAACCATAATGGAAATTATGACTTTAACTCTTCCGGTCCTAAGCCAGGATGAAATAGGAGGGAAGTCATAAGAAGCAAATATTGTAAAAGCGCAAATGTCTATATATAAAAAGTGCAAATGTCCTATGAAAAAGAGCAAACATCCTGCTCCGAAAATATTTATATAGAAATATTTTTGGGGTGATTAGATGATTAATTATTAAATGTTAATTTTTATGCCCCACCTACGATAGTTGTAGGGGCATTATGTTTTCTGGTCTGTGCCTCCATTCGTCCGTCCGTCTGTCCCTCTTCAGGTTAAAGTTATTGGTCAAGGTAGTTTTGGATGAAGTTGAAGTCCAATTAACTTGAGCCTTAGTACACATGTTCCCTATGATATGATCTTTCTAATTTTAATGCCAAATTAAGAGTTTTGACCCCCAGTTTCACGGTCCACTGAACATAGAAAATGATAGTGCAAGTGGGGCATCCATGTACTATGGACACATTCTTGTTTATGATTACTATTGAATGGTATTTACAAAGCTACATGTAATTTGGTATGGTTGTTTTGTGTTTGAAAATCATGATTGCTGATATAACTAGCATTTGGATGTTGGGTCCTTCATTTCTGTATTCTTTATACATGTATATTAGCACCCCATTATTCTGTACTATTATTCTTTTTTGCCTATTTTTCTCAATTTTTAGGCAGTTAAGCTGCCTTATGCGAGCACCCTAGATTTGTGTTCTACCCAATAAATGCTGAAATACGTGCCATTGTTATTATCTAGCTGGCTATTATGTTATTTATAACTAATTGGACATTTTTTTAATACTTTTATTTCTGGAATACAAAAAATATGACCAGAAAAACCTTAAATGATCGTCGAACTACCCAAAACTTTTGAAGTTGCACATAGGAAGTAGTGCTCAATAGAAATCCGTACGTAGTTTATTATCCCCTGTGCTTTTGGCTACGATGTCAAAGAACAATTGTATGAAATATTTCATCGCCGAAAATCGGTAATTACAAGTCGTTTATATTTCCCAAATGGCAAAATGCGCAGGAATATTGTTCATGTACAACAAATCTCTATGATAGAGGAAATAAAGTTATATAAGTGGGGGTAATTTCTAACTTATCTTGCCAAATAAGGTTGTTGTTATTTTATGAATGAAACGAGGTCATGAAAACAGATGTGGAAATCGACGTTGATGGGATGTTTTAAGTAATGTGGACAACTCGTCCCCGAGACAAGTCGGACCGAATCCACTCAAACCGTCTAAGAAGACAACTTTGACCGTTTGTCAGATTTACTTAGGGTTTCATAAAATATTAGACTAACATGTCTAGCGGAGCCATTTATCTTTTGTTTGTGCATTGGGGTCTATTTAGGGGTATTTTGAGGGGCCCGAAGAAGGGAGGGGTTTACTATAGAACCCTATGGGATTTTATTTTTTTAAATTTTCAAATGACTATTTCTCGAAAAACAGTAGGTGATAGACACATGCAGTCTTCAGTAATGAGAACAGGACAATACAAAAAATCAACCAAAATATAGGGTGAGTCCCTGGGGGACATCCCAACCCCCTTTAATTTGAAAATGTACTTTGATCTTGTAACCGTCGCGATCCCCACCCCTAAACAATATATATACTTGAATGGGACAATTAAAGAAATCAAATGAAAATAATTTGGGGGAGTCCCCAGTGTTGTCCCACCCCCTCCTGTTTGAGAACTTGGAAATGGTCAAGATCCCCACCCCTAAAACATATATATTCATGTATGGGACAATAAAACAAATCAAAAATGAAATATAGAGTGAGTCCCTGGGGTCACCCCACCCCCTCCTGTTTGAGAACCGTTGTAAATGGTCGAGATCCCCACCCCTAAATCATATATATTCATGTATGGGACAATATAACAAATCAAATGAAATATATGGGGAGTCCCTGGGGTCACCCCAACCCCTCCTGTTTGAGAACTTGGAAATGGTTGAGATCCCCACCCCTAAACCATATACATTCATGTATGGGACAATAAAACAAATCAAATGAAAAATAGGGGGAGTCCCTAGGGACACCCCCGCCCCTCCTGTTTGAGAACTTGTAAACAGTCAAGATCCCCACCCCTAAACCATATATATTCATGTATGGGACAATATAACAAATCAAATGAAATGTATGGGGAGTTCCTCGGGTCACCCCACCCCCTCCTGTTTGAGAACTTGGAAATGGTCGAGATCCCCACCCCTAAACCATATATATTCATGTATGGGACAATAAAACAAATCAAATGAAATATAGGGGGAGTCCATGGGGACACCCCACCCCCTCTTGTTTGAGAACTTGTAAACAGCCAAGATCCCCACCCCTAAACCATATATATTCATGTATGGGACAATATAACAAATCAAATGAAATATTTGGGGAGTCCCTGGGGTCACCCCACCCCCTCCTGTTTGAGAACTTGGAAATTGTCGAGATCCCCACCCTAAACCATATGTATTCATGTATGGGACAATATAACAAATCAAATGAAATATAGGGGAGTCCCTGGGGTCACCCCACCCCCTCCTGTTTGAGAACTTGGAAATGGTCGAGATCCCCACCCTAAACCATATGTATTCATGTATGGGACAATATAACAAATCAAATGAAATATAGGGGGAGTCCCTGGGGTCACCCCAACCCCTCCTGTTTGAGAACTTGTAAACGGTCGAGATACCCACACCTAAACCATATTAATTCCTGTTCATCATTTCAAAAAGATTTGAATGACATACAGGGTCAATCTCCTT